TTCTAGGGAGGTGGGTGAGCTCCAGTGCGATGAATGACCCATTAATTTATGAGAAGCTTGGGTACACGCTGCAGGGCAGGACAGAGCTGAAGGCACCGGACCATAATGTGGTTAAGTATTAAACTTTGAGTAGCATGTGGAAGAGGTCTCCATGGCATTCCTGTGGAATGTTTTAAGTAAACTTTTAATGAGTCACCATTATTAATGAACGGCTGATCTTTCCTCCTTAGGATCTTCATGTAAGTGATCTTCCAAGAACGCCTCTTGTGTACTAAGAGTTCTCAAAGTTGCAAGGAAAATAGTGAAAAGCAGGAGGGAAGTACAAAATTTATTTGTGATTGGTTGGGTCTTAGAGATGGGGAATCGGTCTTTAATCCGTCTTTCATTTGCGGAACCTAGTGTCTTTCCAAATGATTTCGGGCACACCTTGAGGAATCTGAAATTCCAAGAAAATCTACTTGATTTCAGCTTCTTGCCAATGCCCATCACTGGCAGATGTTAGCACCTGTTTCTGTTCCAAAGCCTCTCTTAGGAGGTTTCTCTGCCTCTTGAGGTATTTGCATTCTTGTATAAGACCACATAAAACAAACAAGAAGCCTACCCAGAACATAGACTATTACACTATTTCATTATTGATTAAGAATTAAGTATTACTTGGCTGGAAACATTCAAACAGTTTTGAATTTTGAAATTTCCGTTTTTACTGGGTGGATCTAGGGTGCATTTCAGAAGTTACTTCTCCCTCCTCTTATGGGTGATGCATAATATTGGATATGACAGTACAATTTTGATAGATATTAAAAATGTCATCAGGTTCTTCCCCTGGCCTTTCATTCCTGCTGGCATGTAAGAAAGAGTAAAGGGAGAATTTTTGTTAAAGAAATGGGGGGAAAATCACACAGAGAGAAAGGCAGAGATGATATTTGTAAGCAGACTATGAACTAAAACTGTTTTTTCCTCTCCAAATCCACAGAGACAAGATAAACAGCACCTGTAGATATTAAGAAGAGTAAAGCAAGTTATGGGGACCCAGAGGCTAGAGAAGAATTATACGAGCTACTGACGATGCCAAAGAATTTTGGAAAATTTTGGAATTTTCAGGTCAGAAGAAGGTAACAATCAATGGGAGGCAGGTTCTGAGATGAAATGGATCTATATATGATATAGATGTGTATATATGTATATGTATATAGGTCTATATATATGTATATATATGTATGTATAGTGTGTCTTTCAGGCAGACTATTTGGGGTGTCATCAACAAGAGAAAGAAGCTTAATCACTGAAGACTTTGGCCCTGTGGAGTCAAGAGTGGGGTTCTTTTGTTGACCAGGTGGCCTGGCATTGTCTTTAGGTGGAAAGGGGTCAAAGTCAATAATCTGCAGAGGGTACAGAGAAAAAAGCACATGAGGAAGCCTGAACCCATCACAGAGTAATAAAATGTTTGTTGAGCTGAACTATTGACCTGGCCAGTAACTGGAATAGCAGTAACAGAGAGCTTCTCAAGGTCAGCCTCAGACATAAAAAATGGTGAAGCTGGGACCCTTACAGCTTACCCACATCCCAAAGATTGATGACATAGGTTGGAGATAGGAGGAAATCACATCTAAGAATAGGTCCTAGCGTTATGCTTTCAGATACTTGCTTACAAAAGTCAGGGCTTAATTTCCTTAATTTCCAAAAACGGAATTAGTGATTAAACAAGGTGTTGTCGGGGACGCCTGGGTGGCTCAGTCGGTTAAGCATCTGCCTTTGGCTCAGGTCATGATCTCACACTTTGTGGGTTTAAGCCCCGTGTCCAGCTCTGTGCTGACAGCTCAGAGCCTGGAGCCTGCTTCGGATTCTGTGTCTCCGTCCCTCTGTGCCCCTCCCCCACTCATGTTCTCTCAAAATAAATAAATACACATTAAAAAAACAAAACAAAATGAAAAACCAAGGCGTTGTCCTACCACTTGAGGTGAGCAGCTACTGGGAATGCTGCAAATGTAATTCTTTTCTTTTTTTTTTTAATTAAAAAAATTTTTTTGACGTTTGTTTTTGAGAGAGACAGAGTATGAGCAAGCGAGGGGCAGAGAGAGAGAGGGAGATACACAATCGGAAGCAGGCTCCAGGCTCTGAGCCATCAGCACAGAGCTGGCTGGACTTGAGGCTAGAACCCATGAACAGTAGTGAGATCATGATCTGAGCCGAAATCGATGCTTAACCAACTGAGCCACCCAGGTGCCCCAAGTGTAACTCTCTTCAATGCAGATTGATGCCATGGGTGCCTTTCACTCACAGGTCTGCTATAAAATTGCCTGTGACTATCTGTGACATTGTACTATGACCGTGGGGCAGGGAGAGGTTTCCATAACTTCCTGGCTTTACCTGTGGAAATAATAACTCGGATGTTAAGCATTGTCTGTAAAGTCATCTCTTATTTTCCCAAGGGAACTATGCTTTCTGTTAAAACAGTTCATTGCTTTACTGTTGAGCTGTTTCATTCATTCCTTCCTTCCTTCATTCATTCATTCATTCGACATTTAATCTGGGCATTCACCATCAAATAGGCATGGTGCTTTCTCGTACTTGCAGATTGCATTTGTGTGGATTCTTACTCTGTGACATGACATGTGATACCGTTTAGACAAGAACAGGATGTAAATATGGGAGTAAGATATAGATGAAGCCTTTTCTTCTTAGGATGAAGGATTTTAGAGATGTAACATCAATTAATTTTTGTGAAAAGCCACAACATAAAAGGTTATCTTCCAACGAGATGATTTGAAGAAAGAGATTTATTTATAGGTTACCAGGGCTCATGATCTGGCTGGGTAACTCATCTTCTCACAAAGAAGTCTCAGGAGAATCTGCCTGGTTTCTAGTCTTATCACGTCCACAGATGGAGGACCCAGCCAACTTTAAGTTTACTTTGTAAAAGTCTCTCAACCATGCATAGCTTTTCTAGAGCACAAACCTCAAAAATGCTTTCTATGCCTCCAATGCAGCATTAAATTAAAAGAAAGCATGTAAAAAAAAAAAAAAAAAGATGAACTGCTTGGATTCTGCTTTTCTTTTCTTTTTAAAAAAAAATTTTTTTAAGGTTTATTTATTTTTGCAACAGAGAGAGACAGAGCATGAACGGGGGAGGGTCAGAGAGAGGGAGACACAGAATCTGAAACAGGCTCCAGGCTCTGAGCTGTCAGCACAGAGCCCAACGTGGGGCTGGAACTCACGGACCATGAGATCATGACCTGAGCCAAAGTCGGCCGCTTAACTGACTGAGCCACCCAGGTGCCCCCCCTTTTTTAAAAATTTTTTCTGCTTTTCTTTTCTTTTCTTTTCTTTTCTTTTCTTTCTTTATTATTTTTTTTTTAATTTGGAAAACAACAATCTTTACTGGCTGAGATCAGCTGCTTGTGTCTCCCCCCCCCCCCGCACCCCCACCCAACTCCCCACCCTCAGGTGTAACAATAGCCAGTGTTTACTGGGGTTACAAGGTGCTAAGTGCTTGACACAGACTGAGTTATTCAATCCTGCTGACACCCCTAAGACATTGCACTATTCCTTTCCCTCTTTTATAGATGAGGACAAAGAGGTACAGAGGCCAGGTAAAGTGGCCAAGATCTCAATGCTAGAAAGTACAGTGTTGGGGTATGAACTTGGGTCCTTGGCTCCAGAGTCGGTGCTCTTGACCACCAGTCTCGGCTGGGTACAACAGGGGCAAAATGGGTGCTTATGATGTGTTAGTTCCCTCCTACGCTCGTGTCTGGATTTATCTCCAGAGGCCACCGCTGCCTTGTTAAAAATGAGAAGGGAGTTAAAGTGAAAATGTCAGAGCCAAAATGATACCTGGTATTCTTATTACTCTTTGGTCAAAGGCCCTAATGTGAATGTGTTGGGGGCTGGAGTGGGGCACAGGGCAGAGGCAGAAAACAAAGTTCTTTAGGGCAGATGTCAGCCCCAGGATATACTATCCACGCGAGCCCTCCAATTTAACAAGTAGCAGGCCTGGTCTTAGCTCATTGACTTATCTCTGACTTACCTCAACGTTGACCCTGGTGGTGGAGGTGTGGTGGTGGTGAGGCAGGGGGAGAGAAAGAGAGAGAACTGAGAGCAGGATGAATTCGGATGAGATTTCTTCAAGAACAGAGACATAAGGGAAATTCAGAATAGATGGCAATGGCAGAACTAAAGAATGTGGTAGTTCTAAAGACATTTGGAAAGAAATGTCCAAAGAATGTCTCTTCTCAGACTCAGGGGCTTCGAACCTAATCGCTGGGGAGGCTCGAGATAATCCTCATTTCTGTAGGCGTAGAAATGTGTGTGAGGAGCATTAGGTTAGGGCAAATGCGTTCAGTGTTTTCTGGAAAGGAGAACAAGCAGGCAACTGGGGTTTGTCTGGAGCCAGCCTCCCATTGGCAAGCTGCTGAAGGCTGATGGCATCATAGCCAGCAATGCTTCCTTCAATATCTGAGACAGAAAAGTGGCCTCACCAAAATGAAGCTTTTTGGTGGTTTCAGAAATATCCATGCCAGCCAGAAGTGAGTCTTGCACACATTACACTAATCCCTTGGCAACCACAGCCAGTACCTTCTGAAGTCTCCATTTCCTCCTGACTAGCAGGGCTAAAAACTGACATTCTGGGCTCTGAGGGAAAAGTAAAGCATTAGATGTGTTACTTTTTGCTACCCACACAGCAGACTTCCAGGAGAGAGGTCGCTCCCCCATCTGCGTGTCTCAAACGTATTCATCTGCATCATCTTTCGGTGAAAAGCAAATTTTCATCGCCTGGAAAAGCCATTGTGTGACCTGCAAGGAGCTGGCCTCAGATCTGGCAAGGCAGGCTTTCAAACAAGGTTATTATCATTGAGCAAAGAAAAAAAAGTCAAATGTTTGTTTTATTTCTTCATTAATATCTACAATGTTTGCCTTTTGCCATTCAGGATTTAAATAAATATACTCAGTGATGGACATTTACGTCAGTCACTTAATTTTCTTTTCAGAGTATGAACGGGGCCGGAATGAAAGCCAACTGTTTTATCAAGGTCGTTTTTTTCCAACTGCCTCTGACAGCCTCTGATCTCTTGAATGTGCTATGCCAGGAAGAACCAACTCCAATATTCCAAGCGTGCCTCATCGCAAGAGAAAGGAGATGTTACAGTTGTTTACAAGACTTTGCTTTAAAGGTCCTCGTGACAGGTCTGTTCTAAATAAAGCGTCTCTTTTGCTTTTCAAAATCGTTTGCATGCACTTTTTCAGGAATGAGTTTCCATACGATGTGCTGCTTGGACACTAGAAGTTATCTTTGTACAGGAACTCCGAGGCGATTTGAAGGACACATGTCCCTGCTGAGCCCTTGCTGCTCAGAGATAAAATCCCCACAGGTGAGCATTGTCCTGCCCTCCTTTTCTGGCCAGAACTCTCGGTCCTGATCCTGTCAGGTGCTTCTCTGAGGTCTGGGAACTGGTAGAGAGGTGAGATGCGGCTAGAGGCCTGGTGTCATGCAAGGAACCAGGCCAGCCTTGGGCTTGATTATCCCGAGGACCAAGTCCACACCCGCCATGGACTGGATTTGAGAACGTGAGTCTTTAATGCCTGTGAGGCGTGGTTATCTTACTAGGAAGACAGAGCCAGTCACACATACTTCACAGGGTTCTGGTCAAGATTAAATTCTTCCCTTCCCTCCCAATCCTCAGTTAGGTTTGCATAACTGCTGTCCTGTTCAGGCTTCAGTCCGCAGCTGAGATGTCACCTCTTCCAGAAATCTTCCCTGTGTCTGGGTAGGAATCCTCCTATGGTCCCTGAGATCACTCTTTTCTCTGCCATAGTGCCTTTCATGCCATATCACATTGTGTCTCTTACCCATTAAACAGTAAGCTCTGTGAGGACAGGAAACAGATATATCTTGCTTATCTGATGCACGTCATAGTGTTGGGTACATGGTCAGTTCTTGATGCTTGTGGAATGGAATTGAATTAAAGGTTAGTGTACATGTGGCTATGGTGGTAGCTCTTTTCCTGTCCTTGTTCGTTCTTTCTTTCTTTCTTTCTTTCTTCTTTCTCTTTCTTTCTTTCTTTCTTTCTTTCTTTCTTTCAAGTTTATTTATTGATTTTGAGAGAGCGTGCACGAGAGAGAGAGAGAGAGAGAAGAGGAGGAGGGACAGAAAGAGAGAGGGAGAGAGAATCCTAAGCAGGCTCCACGCTATCATCACAGAGCCCAATTCAGGGCTCGAACTCATGTACCGTGAGATCACAACCTGAGCCAAGATTAAGAGTCACATGCTTAACCCACTGACCTGCATAGGTGCCCTCTACCCTTTCTCTTTCTTGAGCACATCACAACTACAGGTGGACAATTAATAGTGGCCATTTGCTTCCAGGGATGGATTTCTCTTCTGCCCACATGGATGCCTAATGCTGGAACTGTCTGATTTCTCTGTCTCCACAGGTTATTTATGCATAACATTGCTTCCTGTTTGCATCAAACAGTCTCGCTTTGGACACTTCCTGAAACTTTATTAAAAATTGACTTTTCGATGTGGCTCTGAGACTGATCCTCTCAGGAATGAGTGGTTAGATGGTAAGTCGCTGCGTAAGTGGGTCTCGCTGGTGGGGAGAAGAGGAGAATGGGGCATGGGAGGGAGAGGCTGGGTTAGATTTTGGGGGTGGGGGAGAGACCAAGCTGGGAAGAGATGTGATACAGGTAACACTGACCTCAGCATCTGCATTTGGCAAGCTAAAATATCGAAAATAAGAAGATACGCGTCAGTTCGTCACGGGCGTTTTCTTCTGAAAAGGCTGAGGAAGAGGAAGAGGTAAGATAGAGGGTTGTAGCAAAGGGGGAATAAAAAGCTGCTAGGCCACCATTTGACCTTAAGACCAAATGAGGCCTGTCTTGGGATAATGGTCGTGTGGGTTTTTCCCCATACTGCTTGGCCCGTAACTACCTCACCGTGACCTCACCTGTGCCTGCCCACTCCTGTCACCTGCCTCCACTGCTGACTCAGGGAAAGCTTTTTTGATTGCTGCAAAACTTGGCCGGGTTTGAAGGGTTTAGGTTCTTGGGAGAAAAAGTTCAGTTCTATTGCCAATTCTAAGTTATGGTGACCTTCTTTAATCGTAATGATTAACTTCATGGCTAAAGATCACTGAGACATGAAAATTCAAGTACCTCTCAGGCTATTTAAAGTAAGCCCTACTTCTCCCCAGGGATTACTGGGAAAGTTCATGGAGGAAAGGGAAAAGGGAAAAGGAAAATAAGTCGCCATGCCCTCAGAGGATGGAAAATGAAGAAGTTTCTCTGTAGCTTAAGTTAATAAACAGAGTTCAAACCACCTACACTGAGATCAAGGTCCTCAGAAAAGGCATAAGTTGAGGAGGAATTGAAGGTTTCAGTGACTGAGTTTAAGAGAGCTGTGGCTGAAGGGTTGGGTAGTGAGTACTCGGCTGTTGGAGTATGAACAAGGAGTATTCATTTGGGGGGTGACTGCACCCTCTCCCCCCTGACGTAAAGCGTAGGGAACGCCACCAGCCATTCACAGCTCTTGTTTGCTTGCTTTGGTTGCATTTACCAACTGTTTATTTCTATTTCTTTTTTGTTTTGTTTGTTTGTTTGCTTTTTTAGTCATTCCAGTTTTATATGTGCTGCCAAATAAACCGCTTCAATATATTTGTGTCTTCCGAGGATCGTGGCTCCTCCCCAATCCAAGAGCCACCATTGTTAGCCCCTAATATCTTCCCACCTCCACTGACTCAGGGCACCTTCCTACCTGAGACTCCTTGAGGCATCACCTTGAGATGGCAGCTTCTCTGTGCTTAAGGCAATTACATCTGGTTTCCAGTATAAACTTTCAGTGACGGCTCCTTTGGCTCTTATCAGCTGATCACATCTGTACATCGGCTTGCTGGGTAGCTCAGATCTGGGTACAGAGAGAATGGGCAGGGGTGAATGGGAAGGGAGAGGTAGTTTGGGAATCTGGAATGTGCAGGGCTAAGTAGGCAGAATGTACTGTGATCATCAGAACTGAGTGCCAGATGCACCCTGGAGTCTGGCCAAAGAGCACTGACAGGGGAATGTGGACCAGGCAGAAGGGAGTGACCTTCTTCTGTTTCTTTCCCCCGCCCCCCCCCTCATTTAAGACACAGAATATTGTATTCAAACCCATCAGAGACATGGGCCATTTGGATCATTATGTTGGGTTTCGAAGCATAGGTCGGGAATTGTATACGAGGGTGCACAGCGCTGGGTGCAAAGGAACTGATCAGACCACAGCTTCCCAAAGTTTAGAAGAGAATAGGCTTCCCTGGAAAGGCAGCACCTTTGTGACATCTTAATCTTCCTCAGTCTTCTCAGTCAACTTAGTATTCTCTTCTTCTTCACCTTCTCCTTCAGCAGAATCCACACCAACCTCCTCATAGTCCTTCAAGTTTGCCCATAGACCACAAGTCTGACTGGATATGCACCAACTGTGCCTTTGTTCACTAGTGTGTGTGTGTGTGTGTGTGTGTGTGTGTGTGTGTGTGTAAGAACAAGGGGGAAGGAGAATTTTCTGATGCCCGTGAGGACATGGCTGCCCTTCAGGAAGGAGTAATCTTACTGCGAAATTCCCCCTGCCAAGTGCCTTTCTCCTCTAGACAAGGAAGGTTAAATGAACATTGCTGTCTGACTACCTAGCTGGATTTTTTGTTCTCCTATAGTGAGGAAAGTATTCTAAAGCCTTTCACTGCATAGTCATTAAAAAAATACATATCACTTAAGTGATTGAGATTGAGGCGGGGGCAGGGAGGGGGGAGGATTCTCATTTACGTATACTGGAAAAAAAATCCAAGGAGGGAAAATGTCAAGGTTCTCTGTCAAGAGATGAAGACAGGAAACAGGAAAATATAAGCTCTTCATCTAAAAGGGTAGCCCTTGTTATCCCATAGCTCTCTCCAGTTTTGGGTATAAGGAGGCAAAATATGAGAGAGAAGACTGAGGGGATGAGGGAAAGACCAGAAACTCTACGTCTGTGGCATTCTCCAGGATGGGCACAATCCCAGAGTGAAAATGCCATTCTCCCAATATTGGATATAATTTGGTTGTGAGGCCTATTGCCCTATAAAGTCTCTGGGCTCCTCTGCGTCAGACTTCTGGGTCCTACTTCCTTGTTTTTTATTGTTTTTTTTTTTTTAACTTGTATTTATTTTAAGAGAGAGAGAGAGAGAGAGAGAGAGAGAGAGGGAATGTGCATGTGTGCACACGAATGGGGGTGAGACAGAGAGAGAGGGAGAGAGAGAATCCCACGCAGGCTCCAAGCTGAGTGCTGACCCTGATGTGGGGCTCGATCTCACGATGGTGAGATCATGACCTGAGCTGAAGTCAAGAGTCAGATACTTAACTGACTGAGCCACCCAGGCGCCTTGTTTTTATTCTTTAGCTAATATACTTCTTAGCACTTTGCAGTGGATTGCTCAACTTTATTGTTTGCCAAATAGTGGTTAACACACTAAGTGCTTACTAAATCAGAGCATCCTTTTTAAAAAAATTTTTTAATGTTTATTAATTTTAGAGAGAGAGACAGACAGACAGACAGACAGAGAGCAGGGGAGGAGCAGAGAGAGGGAGACACAGAATCTGAAGCAGGGTCCAGGCTCTGATCTGTCAGCCCAGAGCCCAACACAGGGCTCGAACCCATGGACCACAATATCATGACCTGAGCTGAAGTTGAACACTTAACGACCGAGCCACCCAGGCACCCCCAGAGCATCCTTTTCTAACTAAATGATTTTAACTAAAATATTATATAAAATATACTTTTAAAAATTAAGCAAACCATAAATGAGAATCAGGACCAACTCTCTCCTAGTTTCTCCCGTTTGTATTAAGGGTGAGGCAGACATGATGCTCGCTATAATGCTCCCAGCTTAAAATTTCATTTACTCAGTCAGCAAACATTCATTGTGTGCTTGGTAAGTGCTTGGCCAGTGCAGGGTGCAATGGCGTGCAAATAAAACACTCTGCTCACCCTTTTGGCACACAGGTCGGGCTGGAAGAAACACCGATTAAATAATCAAACCAGTCTATGATTCTAAACCATGATATGTGCTACAGAGGGAAAGTGTCACACACTTATATATTTCCCTGGTGAGTGGAGAAACAGGGGGCTGATTTCATAGCAATGCCAGGCCCTGGATCAAACACGGTGGGCTTCATGGAAATCTACATCTAAAGGTTATTCTTTCTGCTATGAAGTTGGGAAGAGAAGAGCGAGGATGAACTCAACCGCTGAAGACTTGGATGGACAGTAAGAATTTTATTAGACTCAGGGCAATATTACTTTGCCCAATAAAGCTGGTGGCAATCCTCTTAATGGGTCAGTGAGCATCCAAGTGAAACTGACCTAACTTTGGCTCCAAGTCTGTGAGGTCGAGGCATTTTTAAGATCCATCCTTGGAGAAAAATTAACTTTACAAAGGCTCCGCCGAGTTTCAGATGATATTAAACTGCCTTCCTTTCATTAGGAATAACATTCAATGCATTAAAATGAGCACTGGCAGTAAAAAATTTAATTAAAATAATAACTACTGTAACAGCCCAAATAAAAAAAATGATAAAAAATCTAATTAAAAGAAGAGTGGCTACACACACATATTTTAACCCTTCCGTGAGATTTTAAAAACGTCTTCCATAAATTCCCAGGAAATTAGAGTTCCAATTTTATGGCGAAAGGATACATTCTTAGTACATAAAAGTGATGATATTTTGTTTAAACTCCAGAGTTTATATATAACTTTTATTATAAGTTGAAGTGGTCATGCAGAAATTTTCATACCGAAGACAGATATGAGAAAGTTGATTTGAGGGCTAAAATCTATTACTTCCTTTACGATCATATTCTCCTCGGATCATATTTTAAATTCATCATGTGTACGTTCCCCGTGTCAATTTTTCTTTTCAGGCTGAAAGAAGCTTCACTTCCCCTCTCTCCTGATATCTGAGCCCATGCCCACCATCTCTCCACTGGTCACCTGTCCCTGTGTTACTTCACACACTAATCTGTATAACTTGATTTTGGAGGCCTACAGACCAATAATGCAATAAAGGAATTTGTAATTAATTTTAGTGGGAGACTCTTTACCAATATTTCCCTCTCATTCTTCATGACACTATGTCTATAAGAGGTATTGATTAGTGCTCAAATGAGAGCTTAAGCCATAGCTACATACGTTAAAGTGAGTTTTTGGTAATGTCTCACGGTTCTGTTTAATAATTTCTTTAACATTAGTAGCTTTATGCTGGCCAGGCTGACAGTTTTTTTTAATGTCTTTTAAGAAAAGTTTTTAAGGTTTATTTATTAACTTTGAGAGAAAGAGAGAGAGAGAAAGAGAGAGAGGGAGAGAGAGAACAAGCTGGGAAGGGGCAGAGAGAAGGAGAGAGAGAGAGAATCCCAAGCAGGCCCCACACTGTCAGTGTGGAGCCTGATATGGGGCTTGAACTCAAGAACCATGAGATCATGACCTGAGTCGAAATCTAACATTGGATGCTTAATTGACTGAGCCACCAGGGCCCCCCAGGCCAACATTTTTTATAGGCTGAATAAT